ATCAGAAAGGAAGGAAGGGCCTGGTGGTTTGAAGGTAAGTTTCCAAGTAAATGTATCATGCTTATAGCTAGCTAATTATGCAAATCGTTGGGAGTTTCATAACTTCTCCTGGTTTACTTAGGTACGACTTAACTTGTTTCCAACACCTTTACTGTAAAAAGTATGAGTTACTTAGAATTTCAAGCTGCAATAAACGACACTGTGTTGTCGGACTCAATTGTAGCAGTGTTAGATGATTGTGACGACGATTATAAAATTTACTAAATGAGCTATTCGTCGATAGCCAAGCTACGAAAACATCGCCAAGAAGCTGACGATCAAAACGCAATGAGTTTCTATAGTCGTCACAAGTCAGTCACACGTGTTGCTTGCCGTCAATGCTAAATCGGGAGGCGTCCATGAATGACGAATAGATATCCAGGATTGCAGTCACATTCCAAAAAAATCGTCATCTGGGCGGAGATTCGTCGACGGAAAACCGGAAATACAAATTTACTAGCTGGTAAATCTCTTACTAAATTCTGTCGCTAATGCTGTCAATAAAAAATCAAAGGCCAGTAGAGTCTCTCACATCAAACAGCTCACTAATTCGACACCTGTCGCAGTTTCTGCTTCACAAACAGTCACAATGCCGTCTATAAAGTTGATAAAGATAACATTCACCGTAAAAATTGACAAGTGAATTCGCACCAACGTACCTTCCAATATTAGTTCCAAAACTTTCACGCTGTAGACCATAACTGAGCTCCATTTTATAACCATCGCAGGAAATAAATTTCTTTTTTGCGTAGCGTAATTAACGCGAAGATATCGGCAATAGAATGTTACATATTTCACTGAAATGACATATTTCAACACTTTGATCCTAGATGTGCTTGAGAATGTAAACGTAAAGGACTTAGCTTCTTCCTGTAGCTAGATGGGAAACGAGAAGGTTCGTTAATGATTCCAACTCGTTTTGATCTGTTCAATCACTGGATGATTAGTGTACAACAGCTTTAAATGACAACAAAGTGACTGAAAAGCTGTTATTGAAGCAATTAATCATACTGACTGACTGTACTTAGGATTACTACTACCATGGGATCTCCGACACAGGGGAACTTGGGTCCAAGTCAAAGAATTTGCCCGAGCTCTCAGGTTTCAGCTCAGCAATGAACTTGGTCATGGCCGCCACACTGTCCGAAGGCTTCAGCGTGGCCA